ACTGAACTGGTCAACCAGAAGGCAAAGCTCTCAGTTTTGTTACATTAGCAGCAACGCGGTGGGGAAACTCACTCAAGCGAGCGTCCGTGTCCGTTTCGTCACGATGTAACAAAACTGAGATCTCTGCCAGGGGATGCAAACTTTCTCCTGGAGAAAGTGGGGACAGTTAGAACGCCATTGGGCCTACGTTAGCCGAACTAAAATGGTCACATGACAAAAAATGGGGATGTACGCCGTGTACTCGGTCGTTTTCGGAAATAATCGTTGAATATGTGCTCACTGTTTGAACAGAAAATTCGGAAGGAAAGAGACGTAAATTGAAGATTAAAAATAATAAAAATAAATATACTTCCGAAAACAATAACAATATTGTTATTGCCGAAGTGACTTACTACGGTGTTGCGGTCAGATCGCTGAGATATCGGTGTTACTAGCGACTGAATCGCGATGAAACAGGTTCGATTTGGTTATTCAACAGGGCAGAGCCAATAGCGTGTGCGAATATCGATAGGCTATGCTCGGAAGATCGCGCGTCGGTCGTGGCGTACAGTGGGAAAAAACAAAAAATGTTTCGAAATTGTCTACAGCAGATAAACATGCTATTCATTTTCTTATGTTCCAAGACCATGGGTTTAGATGGGAACGCAGCAGAGGTCAACTACACATAATTTACTGCTTTAGCCACTTTATTTGTTGCAGGAGCATTTTTTTTTTGTTATCATAGCAAGGAAATTGGATCCTACTGAAAAGAGAAAGTGACAATAAATTATGTTTAGTTGTCCGTATGTAGCAGATCTTTTTCTTCTGTGATGGATTTATCATTCGGAGTTTTCCCAAATTTCAGAATATATTAATTGCACCTTTTTTAAAAGGACAAAGAAATGTAACGCTTTGAAAGAAGCGTATTTCTGGGAATTAATTTTGTGAAAGTGGACTATCCGAATGTTTTGTAACATTGTACATTAAGTAACTATTAAATTTTATATTATTATTTTTTTGTTATTTAAAAAACTTATAAACATTATATACAAAATATGGTCGAATTCACGACTGGGAAAAATATCGCTGTAATCGGCGGTAAAGTTAGCGTTTATTCTAGTGACTTGAGTTCAAAAAAGCAAAAAGTTCCTTAAGGGGATATACCTACTTGCAAGCTTTAAAAAAATATGATGTTTGGGATTTTTTTATTAAATGAGAAATCTTTTTATTTCCACTCTTCCTTCTTTATTTGATAATATATACTTTGAACAATATTTATGAATTTCTTTAGTAAAAAATATTAATAAATCATTCTGATTTCACCTAGCATCCTAATTTATATACTGACTTGCGGTGAGCAATATCAAGCCGAGATTTTTCATATAAAATAAAAAAGTCAGATAATTTTTCACAGTATATTGTACAATTCAGTGTTCGATAGATGGATTTTTTTAAAAAATGTACCAGAAATAAATGGCGGCTGTTAAAAAATGAGATATCGAATTTTCACTAAAAATAGCCGTAGTTTTTTAACTATAAAAAAATTATGCATCTCGGAGGAAAAAGCTATGATCAAGAACTAGATTATATTATGTGCTTATAATTGTGCAAAAGCTAAGCTAAATCGAATGAACGGTTCTTGAAATATCTTGCTCACGTCTTGAAAAACGTTTTGAGAGAAACGCGTTTAATGTATCATGTTATGCGATACTTGCTCCAAACTTCGCACTGTAGTCTTTAATCTCATATAACTTTGTCAATTTTAATGCGATCAACATAAGATTCTAATTTTTTCTTGAGATTCTATAATTTAAGAACATGGAAAAATCCAAAAATTTATTTTTTGAAAGTTTGAATGTAGCTTTAAATTAAATAATATACTTGTTGTCGGAGAATAACGATTTTGAGATACGATTTTTGTTTTGTTTCTTTCATTTGCATGCTTTGTGTTTGGAGTGACGAGTGAGACGTGCGTCGCGGCGCGAGGGATTGTTATGTTCTCGTTCATTTTTGAACTTTTGTAGTGCATCTCCTTTGTGTCGCATTTGATGACGCTTAACCTTTTACTCGTGTCTGTTTATGCGAATGTCAGTGTTCAGATCAGAGAGTGATGCGAGATACTGTGTTGTAAACACGCGACTTAAATTATTTGTGTATATTTCGGATAATTAAAATGTCTCATAAGATTTTAAAAACTGAAACGATGTGTGTTAACATTGAAGAGTCAGCGCGCGGCTTCCTATCGAGTTATGCCGCGGCAGATTTTGACGAGTGGTCGAGTTGAGTATATTGGCTGATGAGTGCAATGAAACGTTGAGTTGTTCGGTATGAATAGAATTGTTTGAAGATCACTGAGATGATCCCGATCGGTGATTCAAGATATTGGAAACGACCAAGGTGAAAAATCAGCAAGAACAAACGATCAGAGATCAATGGTCTCAAGGCATTTCTGAGATTGGCGTTCGCCGCAGGTGTCATTTGAATCTATTGTTTTATTTAATAAATACATGTTTGCATATAATTTAATCATATCAAGTTATATTATTTGGCCTTTAAAATAATTTTTTGAACACAAGAAAATTTAGTAGGATTTGGTATTCGCGCGTAGGATTTTACAGATCTTGTATGAAAGTCTCGTCATCAATTGGCAACACTGCTCGCACTCACTAGTGTCAGGGCGAGCTCGAGAGGAGTTTGAGCGGAAGCTCTGCAAAAGCTCAAGAAAAACGTCACGCTTCCTTTGCGTGACGAAAGACTGCGAAGGAACGCTTCGACAGAAGCGCGAGCGGAAACTCTTTTTGCCAAAGGTTTATAACTCTTTCCTGCAGCCACTAGCGGAAGAGAATAAGTCCGCGGAAGCGGACATCCTCGTACGGCAGTGCGACTCCTTCCCCGAGGAAGCGAACTCAGCCGCACAACAGTGCGACACCTCCGCAAACGCAGACACTACCCGAGCAGAAATTGAATCTAGTGATTGTCTAGTAACGACACAGAATAGTTGGGTCTTACATCGCTACTAGCTAGGAATGTAACGCTCACTTCTCCTAGTGGATGTACCAGAAAAATTATCTAGTAGCTAGATACAAAAAAATAATTTGTAACTATAATTGGTATAAGTACTAGACGGTTTTGATATCCAATTTCTATTCAGGATTTACCGATGATTTTTTATCTCGTTACTGTGTAATCTTTTCACTATCTAGGTAATTGGTATAGTTATTAGATAGTCCTGATATTCAAAAGACTGAGTAGAAATATTTAGCCAGTCACGAGCTAGTGACAGGCTATAAAATTTATCTAGTCATTACTATCCAGCTACTAGTCTTGAAATCTGCTCTACTAGATATATTTTTGTTGGGGAAACACACAGCGGGGCGCAAAAAAAAAAATCATCGACAGGAAGAGCCGACAAGAAAAACTCGTAGAAACGATCTACGGGCCGATCTATCGTCCATGTACTCCCTCTTCAACCAGGAGAGAGGATTCACCCGACCTGGACATATTACTGCTGCAAGGCTCACCTCACGGCACACCCTGGAGTTCTGGGCGAGCCCCTCGCCGCTATCTTTCGAACTTTTGGCAGCCGCCACACCAGTTCCTATACAGGAACCTTCGTCGCCGTCGACGTTACCAGCCCCGGCGACACCGGCATCTCCGCAAGCCTTTCCTGAAAGAACTTCCGGGGTTCCATGTTCATATCATCTGCCCGCTTGAGAAGAAGTGGAGCTCCGAGCTTAGAGACTCATTCCTCTCATTCTCCAGAAGCCGAGATGCACACCTTTTCCACTAAAGCATCTCGCAACGTGGAACTGCAGAGGTTGTAGACCTTTCTCTCCGAAGTACGCTACAGATAACGACGAGAGACCGCTGTCTAAGACGACTATGCTCATCAAGAGCACGCAAACAAACCCTGGATACTTCACGATAGCAAAAAAGCTCGTTAATTATATATATATATATATATATATATATATGTTAAATATATTTATTTGTATTTAAAGAAATTAACCGAGTAACCTCGTCAATATTCCCGTCACAAAACTTGGTAGGGATTCCCTCTGCGGGCTATACCTAACACTGTGAGTGAGCGGTAACCCCCACAATATATATAAATATTTTTAGAGTAAATCTGTAGAGTTTTATGTCTCATAATTCTTTAAAAAAAAATGACGCTAAGAACTATATACAGAGTGTCCGAAACCTTCTTGACACCACAGCTATGTGACACAGCGTAGCTATGGACGGAGGGACGCAGCCAGCCGCGATTCGCGAGTATCACGGTCGCGCGCCGGCCCGAACGCTAATTTGTTCAGATAAAATAATTAATTACTCGAAAACTATTACGAATTTCGCAAATTGGTATTTGGTTTTTCTGTTCCCTGTATATATGTAACGATCCGGAAAATCGTCACGATAATCGGGGAACGTTATTTAGAATTAACGCCGAACAACCGCGCGCGGAACAACCGCAAGGTCAACAAACAGCCGCTCTGTTTGTTGCAAATTAGTATAAAGCCGACACGAAAACGATATCGAGAGAGATTGATCGGAGAGCTCCTCTCAGGCGCACGACCGACCAGAACTCGAAATTCCTAGAGATCCTAGACATTCCGTCGACCGAAGTGGATACGCGACGTCGACATCCTTTCTCCGATACCGCTCTGCCGACCGAAGTGGATACGTGACGTCGGCATTCTATCCATACACCGCTCCGTCGACCAAAGTGGATACGCGACGTCGATATCCTTTCTCCGATACCGCTCTGCCGACCGAAGTGGATACGCGACGTCGGCTTCCTATCCATACACCGCTCCGTCGACCGAAGTGGATACGCGACGTCGACATCCTTTCTCCGATACCGCTCTGCCGACCGAAGTGGATACGCGACGTCGGCTTCCTATCCATACACCGCTCCGTCGACCGAAGTGGATACGCGACGTCGACATCCTTTCTCCGATACCGCTCTGCCGACCGAAGTGGATACGCGACGTCGGCTTCCTATCCATACACCGCTCCGTCGACCGAAGTGGATACGCGACGTCGACATCCTTTCCTCCTCACGCCACGCCGCTAACACCAACGATCGCGAACGCATACAGAGCGTAAGAGACCGGTGACGACGAGCGCCTTTAAACCAGCCAAGTTAAAATCGGGGTAAATAAACAGCTTAAAGCCGACGAGGCAACGAACTCCAAACGACGAACAATAGCATATCAGGAAACATTCTCGACCGCGTCCCGCCGGACGCTCGCGCGCCTCGATGCTCGCAGCTGATCGCGAGACGACAACACCGGCTCCCGACGAGAGCAAAAACGCGACCACGCGCCAACGGCGTAACGTCGCATGTAAATAATTGTACATAGCTTTGAAATTAGAATATAGTTCCACGTTATTATAACCTACACCACTGCTTTTCATTTCACAAACGAAACCCGGACCACACCGACTAAGACTATCCCGCACGTAACGCAAGGCCGTTACATATATATATATATATATATATATATATATATATATATATATATATATATATATATATATA